CGCCCTTCACCCCCTTCACAGAGTAAGTCCTTCCTGGAGAGACACCTGGAGAGCAGCAAAGAGCCGGAACTCGGGGATCGGATTTCGTCTACCTGTCCTAGAAGCGCAGTCTTTTTGGGGAGATCAGAGTAGAGGGGCTGGTCACTGACTCCCGCTCGGAGTGCTTCTCTCTGCACGCCCCCCCTTTCCTTACGGCCATTGCAAACAGCAGCTCTCCTTTCCAAAGCCTTCCGGCAACTTCCTTCCATTCACGTACTTATCTTTTGTGTCATCTTTTCCCGGTGGAGAAAGGGCTTGAGGAGCAGAGCATAAGAGTGACAGGCACCACTGGAGAATGACTTTGTAACGGCCCCTTCGCTAGCCCGGCGCTCTGTGTCACTCCCTACAGCGGCTTTCCTCCCTCCAGGACCTCCAGCGGACCGTGTCTAAAGAAGGGCCTCATCGAAACCTCTCATTGCCAAGACTTTTTTATTCCACGTCTCACCAGTATACGACACAGAAACTCAGCCCCTTGGTGCTGTCTGCTCTCTAAAGATGACTTTGATGCGGGCAGGAGTTGGCCCCATTTGTAGCATCAGTTTCAGGCGAATCGCCCCAAACACAGCCTTCCAGCTTGTGTTTGCTCCTGATTTCCCCCGAGGGGCTGCAATCCCACTTGCTTTTCTGAGTCACACACCCTCTATACAGAAGATATTAGTACTGCAATACGTGATTTTTAATGCTTCACAGAGCCGGCTGGGTCAGAGATAAAGAACGGGCTGGTCTGAACAGGGGTGGCAAACCTGTGGCACGCGTTTTTCTTTTAAGACAAAAGCTGTTGATGTACGAGTTGTTTTTCTAAACCAAAACCTCAGCATGCAGGTTTAATTGCAGTGTTGGGGCTTTACAGTAAGGAAGTGGGTTTGGGGGACAGTTTGGGCCCTGACGTCTAAAAGGTGCACCATCCCTGCCCTAGGGGTGCGGAGTAGGGATGCAGGAGGGAGGGGAGACAGTGGTGGGGACAGCCCTGGAGCAGCGAAGGAGCAATTCACCTTGCCTGTATTCCTAAGGAGAGCGTTCAGTTTAATCTGCGAAGCTGCTGTAACTCTGCCTGTTAATTTTGTATGTGCACCTATTTTACCAGCAGAAGGATTTCACAGTCTTTCTCACAAGACATTATACTAAACAACAGAATCAAGAGATGGTGGTGGCCTCTCTGTCCCCGTCAAAGCCAGGAGGAGAACCTGCAGCAGCTGCCTGGATGGTGTGGGCCTCTGCTCTGGGAGGACGGCATGGAGCCAGTGCTGACTGAGTTTGGGTCACCAAGCATGGTGTGGGATTTGATTAGGGGCAGAGACCGCAGCAGTTGGCTTAACTGAATCTATTTATCCCCTCAAACTCAGACAGTGGTCTGCATGGGTGTGACTAAAAGAAATCTATCTGCAGCAGCTTCTAAAAATCAGACAAGTTCCGCTTCAGAGATGCAGATCGCTGCCCCTCTGAGTACTCGAGCTCCTGCAGGTTCTGTGCGCTGTGTCTGGAATCGCACTTGCCTAGGTGTTTAATGGTTTCAGGTGAAAGCAAAAGTCGGGTTAGGGGAGCTTTCTGGGTAGACTAGTACTCCAAAGTTGACACAAATCGTGGCTTTTAGGACTGATGGATTGTTTTGATAAAGGTGAGGCTGTTTCCTTTTCCATGTATCCTATTGTAGTGAACGATTAGTAGCAAGTAAAATTGACAAGCTGAATTATTGCAATGTGACACTGTTTGTTTTGTATAATCTTATTCTCCTTCACCGTCGATTGAGGCAATTTCCAGGTTCCCTGACCCAGGCACAGATCTGGCCTTGCCCTGACCAAGGGCTCCTGGATTAGTGTGGGTGGAGGTTTCTGGTCTCTGGACCAAGGTTTGTTGTTGATTGAAGACTCTGGGCTGGTTTGGAGACCTGGTTCTGCTTCCCTTTCCTTTCCCCACAAGAAAACCCGCACTCAACACCAACATCTTTAAAGTTCAAAGATGGGTGTATAAAAATTTTTAAAATGACAGGCTAAAAATAAACCCTGAATCTTAAGGAGTATCAAGAAAGCAATTTCAAAATTATTCTATTTTTCAGTTCAGTTCTACTAAATGGATTTCAGTTTGTGCATTTCCTTCTTTTGGGTTCTGCTTACACATGTGGAGATGCATTCTTAAGAAATATTTCCAGGTTTCAAAGGTTAAAAACTTTTGCTAAAAAGAGAGTTTCAGAAGGTTTTAGCTTCGTAATGCGGGCAGTACTGTAGGGCCTTTATTCCCAATGGTTTAGTTGTTACTTCCATTTTCCTTTTGATACATTTTCATCTCTGATACATTTTCCCTTACTTTGGAGCTCTACTTAGGATTCTAGCTAATCTTAAGTCAGAAATACTTGTAAATGCTTTTAGGTTCTATATTTTTAATTTAATTCCATGACTTGATAAGTGCAGTCCAAATACTTATTTGGTTCTTTCACATAATGATATTTTTTAGCACACTGTTAAGCAAGTATATCCTTTGTAACCACACTCTTCTTTAAAAAATTCACTAACGTGCAATTTCAGCTTTAGATGCATTTCAAAAGACCACCAGGAGGTGATGACTGCAAACAATTGCATAAAGGGAAATGTAGTTAATTTTCCTGTGTCCATTCAGAGAAGTAATTTGAATTAACGTGGCACCCGCACAAAAGAAACATTCGAGGCCAAAATAAGCAAATTGCATTTGTCAGATGCTCTTTCTGCGGCTAATCTTTGGCTAAAATGCCCAGATTCTTTTTTTACTGACAATCTTAGCAATGAGACTCTGACTCGGAGAGAATGAGATGGATGAAGTTCCCCCTTTCAAGTGCAATTGCAACAGGTCTGTGAGTCACCTGTATAGTCACCTGGACATCCAGCCTTCACCTGTGGGTGGAGCTTGTTCGCTTGCAGGAGCGAGGGCTCTTGCACAGCACACCAGGCTTCCACTGTCCTGCTTTCCCTCTTCCAGGTGCACTGGAGTCCACTTCCGAATGCCAATCCTCCCTGGGTGATCAAAAGCTGAATTCAGCTACTTAGGCAGTCCCAGCCCTCAAGAGACACATCAAACAAGAGGTTTAGAAAGAAGTTCCCTGCTCTATTGTTTTATCTATAAATAGTGTTGCAGATGGAGTTTTTGGGGAAGCAGACTCCCGTGTTGAAGTTTAGTGCACTGGATATTTACTAGGGACCTTTGTGGGATCAACATCAATGGAAGGAAGGGGGGAGAGAAGTAGAACTGGTCCTCCGCCTTGGTGAATCCTCCAGAGAGCTCTGAAGCTAAAGCAGCCCATTAGCGTTGTCCTCCCCTGGGCTCAAATGGCTTTTGCCAGCTGGGTCACTGGATGTGGGTCAGCCTGGCAAGGGCATGGCTTTGGGCTAGGTGGCTCTCAGCACCTGACGGCCAAATGCTATTTATAGCCACCTTCCAGCAGCTAGGCCAACGAGACCTTCTTTGAAGGGCTATCTGGCACATCTCCTTGCCCCCTACAAGCAACTGTGACAGCAGCCTGACTCAGGATTATTGTGACTACTATGTGACATAACTGCAAAGCAGGTCCCCTGGGCATTGGTTACCATTTCAGCCCACTGCCTCCCGGGCAGAGCTATAACGTACTTCCTGAATCTACT